TTTTTTTTATGGAAAATGTTAAGTAACAATGCATTGTTCTAAAAAATCTTCTTTAAAGTACTTAAGTGCACCTACCTTAACAATAGGGTTCAGCAAAACAACACCTGATTTCTTAGTGATGACTTGTTTTGTTGTGTAGTGATGATCTATAAGTTGAGGTATGTTTGAAAACCCACTGCCTTCGAATCTATATAAATTCTGGAGAGAGAATTAGAATTAGAGAATTAGATTTAGAATAACTATAAAATAGCGTATAAAAAGATCACATTAATCAATGAATTAACTTCTATTTTTAAAAAGTAACAAATTGATATGAAATTTATTTTGCTAAAATAATACTAAGGAAAACAAAGCATAAGATGTCATTTAATCAAAGAAAGAGAGGTACATGTCTGCATATGTTCCATTTGATAAAACAAGACAAAAAATGTTTGAAAACATCTATGCAGAATAAACATAAATTAAAGGATATTTTTGATGATAATTTTATTTTCTATATGAACATAGCATTAACTGGTTTTCCTATATTGGGGTTATTTATGTGTTACCCATTCAGCAAAACCATTCAGTTATCCACAAACAAATGAATAAAATGCACCTGTGGGAAAACTGCAGCTATCAGCATGCTCAGAGCTTAGCAGTTTTTAAACTTTCATGTTAGGTAAGTAACATTTTCTCAGACTTTGCTCAAATCTCTTTTTTCTATCATTATATTTCAAACATGTATACATATCAAATACTAATAATAAATTTACCAAAGGGGAAAAAAGTCTGAATCATGACTTTTCGATGCAGGAAGCACTGCACTATGATGAGGTAAGTTGTCACCTAATTGTTCAGAGCTTACCTGGGTATATAACAAATCTGAGCATGCTTCACTTAACTCTATGTTAAGAAGAAAGAGCACTGAAAGCCACCTAACTTTAAATGTTTTATTTGAATTATTTTGGCAAATAGAAAAAAGTTCAAAGTTCCTTTTCCACAGAATAAAATTCTGTTTACTAGAATTTAATTGATATACAACTTTGAAATTTTTATTTCACCAAGTGAAGAACAAACATGCATTACCTTTACTTTAACACAACCATACATTACAACTCTGGGCAGATGTTAATAAATTAGGAATTTAGGTTGGTCTGCGGTTTGAAATCACCGGCTGCTCCTCGGGAGAAAGATGATGTTTTCTACTTGTGTAAAGAAACTCAGGAGGTCTACTTGAAGTGATCCCCCCACCCCCAACTGCTAAGCAGTATTAATATAAAGTAACTAGTCAAAATTTAAAACATTCTGATCAAAATGGGTCTGGACGTGCCTTTCGAAGCCTTGCTGGCCATAGTCAGGCGGGAACTGCTCACTGCACATGGGGCACAACTTCCAGTGACTCTCAACATGTTCTTCAAACTTGCTCTGATCAGAGTTCGCGGGGAACATTAACTCACAGAGAGGACACTTCTCGTGAACATCAAAGCTGGAATCAAAGCAAAAGCCGGTGCCAGGCCCACATACATGCTGACTTGGGCCACCAGGGGCAGAGGACACATTCTCCTCTTCTTCACCATCCTTGGGGTCTTGTAAACCATCCGGTCGACTCAGGTTTCCAGCAGGCTGGCTGCAGACAACATTGTCTCCAAGTAGACCCCGTCTGAGACTCCAAGGTCAGAATCTCACCTCCCATGCACCCTCTTCCATACTTTCTCACCAAGAGCTACTTTGTAGTCTGGTGTTTCTAAGGGCCAGGGCTAGTCTTTAGCTTATCAATGAATATAATTTTAACTCTGTTGAACTTATCTGCTTTAAGAAAAGGGCTTGTGTATCTTTATTTATTCCCAGTTTGTGAAGTTGTGTAGATAAAGGACACAGATTATTTGAATACTGAAACAAATATGTATAGTGTATTAAGATTATTTAGGAGAATATTTACAAGTTGACCTTCCTTCTTGATTAAGCATGACTACTAACTATTATGTAATAAAAACCATTCCCCCCCCCAAACAAAAAAAGAAATCAGGAGGGGAAATTCTACTATGTCCTATAGGATCACTGAGAGTCAGAATTGACTCAGTGGCAGCGTATTTCATTTGGTTAATAGCTTGCTTTAAAAACTTTTGTACAGAGCAATCAAAATTGCTAAGGTTTGTTAGCATGGATGCTCAGCAATATTTCACACTGATGAAGAAACTAATATATTAACAGGTATTCCACACCGTGAGCAAGTCGCTCATTTCTCAATGCATTAGTGTCTGCAATATGAGACAAGATAATATTTAAGCCTGCTCACAGAATAACTTTTGAGTCTTGACAGTATTAACATGCAGAGCACTGTGCTCAATGTTTGGCATGTGGTATGAATTTAATTATATTGTTGTTGCTAGGTCCCCGTAAGTCAATTCAAACTCATAGTGACCCTATGTACAACAGAATGAAATACTGTACAATCTTAACAATGGTTGTATTTGAGAACAATGTGTAAACCCATCTCATCAAAGGTCTTCCACCTCTTCAATGCTCTTCTACTTTACCAAGTATAAAGTCCTTTTGTAGAGACTGGGCTCTCCTGATTAACATACCCAAAGTACGTGAGATGAAGTCTCACCATCCTTACTTCCACTAAGGAGCATTCTGGTTAAACTTCTTCCAAAATAGAATTGCTCATTCTTCTGACAGTCCACAACACTTCCAAAATTCTTAGTCAACCCCATAATTCAAATGAACTGATTCTTCTGCAGTCTTTGCTATTCATTGTCCAACTTTAATAGCATATGAGATGTTTGAAAATACCATAGCAGGTACAACTTAGTCCTCAAAGTGACACCTGGTCTTCAATGCTTTAAAGAGATCTTTTGCAGCAGATTTACCCAGTGCAATAAGTTGTTTGATTTTTTTTTTAATTGGGGGCTCATACAACTCTGATCACAATCCATACATACATCAATTGTGTCAAGCACATTTGTGCAATCTTTACCCTCATCATTCTCAAAACATTTGCTCTC